AATCAGATGGCAGAACGAGAGTCGGAGAGCAACGAAGGCATCTCTTACACCAGTGAGACAAGACTAGGTAGGGATGGACGCGACAGAGAGCAGGCGCAACGGGAATTTGATGACATGTTGGAGAGGGAGAGGAAGCAGAGCGGGAGCGAGGAGTATGATCGGGGGATGGCAGCGGTAGAGTCGGGAGAAGAAAGAAGGGCGGGGGAAGGAATGGGTGCTTGGGAAAGGAGACGGAGGGGAGATTAACATCGATCTATTGTGAAGGAATAAAGCGTGGTCAAAAGGCCAGAAGTCAAAATAATATTCCGGTCATATGTGGTTCAGGTTTACATGGGCTTGTACTCCTATTCTGTACGATATTGTGGCGGCAAAAGCAAATGTCTAGGAGACACATTCACCTCTCTTCTTGTCAGAGAGCCATGCCCACGCCAGAGCTCGACTTAGTCAGGGACTCAGAGAACAAGCATCAAAAACTTGACGGCTAGTTAGTTAGTAGGTTAATGCAAAACTTGTCCACAATGGCCCTTAGCAGCGTTCTCGCAGAATACTGCCAGGCTAGGTCGGTTCGTCTCTTGTCCTGCGAGGGCACATGGGTTCCGTCCCAATCACAGAGTGGCGTACAAGTACATGTGGGGGGGGGGGAACACGGAATACGCAGCAAGTTCAGCGCTCCGTATGTCGGAGTACCTGGACAGTGATTGATGTACCAAGTATACCTACCCAAGGATGTATGTGTGCTCGGTACGCATGTACCTACTACCCGTGCCGGCCGGTCGAGGCGCATGGAGTGTCCTGGGGTGCTAACTCCCTGACTTCCCCTCCCCTCCCTAGTACGGTACCTCCCCTAGTACCGCCTAACTACATAGTACACAGCCCATGCTTCTAGGGCCTATGTACATAGGCCAGCAATAGTGGCATGTGCCAAACCAGTGCCAGTACTGCGCCGTCAAATATGTGAGTACCAGGGACGCGGCCAGGGCCATGGTAGGTGACTACGACTGTGACTGTGACTGTGATGGGCGTTGGGGTGTGCGAGCAGACTGGAAACGAGCAGACCACGGGCGCAGTAACTACAATGTACATAAGCAATATGTACGGAGTGGGCATGATGGATGTGCCAGGGGTGGAGGTGAGGTGACTTGCGCGCCGCCATGACTCATCAGTCTGGTCTGCCTTGGTGTGCCTGCTTATGATTATTGCTGGCGCTGGTATTGGATGGGATGCCTTTTCACCGCACCGCCCATGTACCTACCTAGTAGCTACATGCCCGAGTAGTAGGGCGTCTCTGCTCTGTGGGAGCTTAGGGTGCCTGAACGAGATGCGGTGTGAGTACTGCTGTGTGTGTACGCATATGTGGCGTACTGGCTGTGCCCGTTATCACCTACCTAGGTATGTAGCCGGATCGCAATGAGAGTCTGCCGCGGTCGTGGTTCATCTTACGTGGGATGCTAATGGGGGATACGTGTCGGATCAATTGTTTGAATACTGACGGGCTGGCAGTGGCATGACTGATTGATTGATTGATTGATGATCGAGGAGCTCTCCTGTCCATCCATTGTCGTCTCTCCCAAAGCTCCCAACACCAATAAAAGCCCTCCCCTGTAAATTCCTTGCCGCACCATTGCAATTGCAAAAAGAAAGTGTTGTGCTGTTGTCGCCACGATGTAACAGCAGAGCCCCTAGTTTTCGTTGCCTAGGCGTAGAAACGCACTGCATGGGCTTTAATCGAGAAGTGGGAAACGCATGTGGTCAGGATATTCTAGAGGCTGTGGTGACGATACGAGAACGCTCGCTCATATGGACCGGGTTGGGTGGAATGGAAAAGGTGAACCTGATGGAGGGATTTCGTAGAGTTGGATGTCTGCAGTATTGACTCGAGGATCTGGCATTTAACGAGCAAGGATGCCTTGGTCTGGACGTCATTTCGATCCGCTTGCTTCGAGGCCGCGCATTGAGTGCCGCCTGATGGTAGACCTTGCAACTCATGCGGCCTCCTTGCCTTTGCCTTTGCCTTTAGCGTCACCTTCTGCTTCGTCCTCTTCGAGATCGGGCATCTCATCATCATCATCATCCTCTTCCTCTTCATTGTCGTCGCCACCCTCGGCTTCTCCCTCTGCTCCCAAGCCGGCACCACCACCGAGTTTGGAGAAGTCAATGCCACCAAAGCCACCGTCTTCTCCGAGACCACCTCCAAATTGGTTCATATAGTCATCTTCCGGAGCTTCGTTTTGTTCGTCCTCATCCACCCACTGAACGGAGGCAAAGGATCAGTAAACAGGAAGCTAGTGACTTGGAGGGTCATGGGGGCATACCTTGTCAAAGTCGGTGCGCAGGTAATGTACTTTTGCGGGGTCCTTGAGGAGGCGTGGCCAGTACTCCTCCTTGAGTTCCTTCTTCCTGAGAATCATCTGGATGTTGGCTGGGGTGTGATGCGTCTTGGAGTTCTCGACATCGATCTCAGCGTAGAATTCCATCTCAAGATGATATGTGGTCTTCTTGGTCTCTGACGTGCCAGTGAAGGTGAGACCGGTGGGCTTAAGGTCGAGTTTGAGGGACTTGGGGGGAACATCAGGCACGCTGATGGTCAGGTAGATGTAGTTCTTTTCTGGCTCAGTGGCGGAGGAGCGCTGCGCCCATAGGACTGCGGACACTCCCAGTCAGTCATTTGTTAAGGCCAAAGTGGAAGTTTGGTCCCGAGAGAGGGGGATGGCTCTGGAGCGTTGAAGTCATCGAGGCAGGGGAGGGTTTACCTTCTGGAGTAACCTGGCTAGACATGATGAGGTTTGCGAATTGGAGGGGCTTCTGGCCTAGGAGGATGGGAAAGTAAGGGTGAAGAACGAGAGGAGGAGCGTTGTCGTGTTATCAAGGCACGACCGAGGTGTGAGAACAATGGGAGATGGAAAAGTCTGCTTCTTGCTTGCTTGCTTGCTTCACCTGGGTCGCTGTAAAAGGTTCAACTATTTGTGTGCGGGCGATCGGTCTAAGGTGAAGGGGACGAGGCTGTTCGAAGTGCAACGAATAACATCGAAAGCCCCCCAAGCTGCTGGGCTGAGCACGCACTTGCAAACAGTGCCTGTTCCACTGCCCACTCAGCATGACTTTCCACGAGCAAAGACCCTCTTAAGGTACCGCCAAGTCCGCATCCGCACCACTAGTACGCCCATGCTGCCTGCCACTTATTCACTTATGCCCTTCCCCCCATTGTCTAACAAGTAGGCATCCTCCAAAGGACTTCGACTTCCTAACCACCTGTTTGCGCCTACCCGCCTCGCCGCCAAGTACTGAGTGTCTGACTGGGCTCCCCGCCATCAACCTTCCTCCACTGGCATCTGCAGGTGATAAAGTATTCGCTCCAGCTGCTCCCTAGTTGATCCCCGTTCATCAGCCCTACAACTTACTCTGGACAGCAAGTAGACCTCCCGCTTATTATCGCTCTAGCCCTATGACCGAGTGTTGTCGCAGACATTCACGTGCGACTTTCACCGCAAGCCTGCCGCCGCCGGCGTTCGGCTCAGATACCAGCATGGCCCTGTAGTTGACCACGAGCAGCCTGCAATCGAGCACACACAAGGAGCTTACCAAGCAACAAGGACCGCTACGGGAATACCACCATCATGCAATCGTTCAAAGCGGTCTTCTTCAAGCCGGATCCCCAAGAACAGGTTCGTCTGTAACTTCCCGCTGAATTGGCGCACGCTGACTTTATCTCAGAAACGAAAATGCGACGGCATTATACGGAAAAACGTGCGGGCTTTAGACCGGGATATCACAAACCTCAAGATCACAGAACAGAAAACGAGGACTTTGATACTGAATGCCGCAAAGAGGGGACAGAAAAATCCCTCTCAGGCGAAACAAGGCGCCGACGAAGCACGAATATTTGCTAGAGAGTTGATCAAGGTTCGGAAGCAGTCGGCAAGGTTACACACCAGCAAAGCACAACTGCAAAGCGTCCAGATGCAAGTGAACGAGGCATTTTCTGTTCGCAAGATCGAAGGCAGTCTCAAAGCCAGCACGCGCATCATGAAGGATGTCAACACATTAATTCGGTTACCAGAGCTGACCGGAACCATGCAAGAGCTGAGCCAGGAATTGATGAAGGCTGGCATCATTGAAGAAATGGTTGGTGATGCTCTACCGAACGATGAACTGCTGGAAGGAGAAGACGAAGAGGCGGAGACAGAAGTGGACAAAGTACTGGGCGAGGTATTGAAGGGAAGGCTGGGCATACCCGAACAGCAAGTCCCCCAGCTCCCCGTGGAAGCGGAGGAAGAAGAACCGGAAGAGGACAGAGAAGCAGAATTAGAGCAGATGCGAGGGAGGCTCGAGGCGTTGAAAAGCTGAGATGGCCACGAGGAAGCATGGCTGTACCTTTCTGGCGCAGCTGCCGTAGACCAGGCCATATACTGCTAGCTTTGGGGATTATGAGACATGAATGGCGTTCTATAGGATCACGTAAAGCATTTCAACACCATCCACCTCGAGGATGAATGTTGTCAAGACTACTTGTTACCCACCGTAGGACACATGCGGCGTTGGATCGTGGATGGTGCACGTGACGTTGATATACGAGACCCCCTAAACAGGCTTAGTGCGGGCTTGGCTGCATCCGATTGTCTCCTTGTGCCTGTTGCTGCGCCTGCGCCTCATTTTTATTAACCTTGCCGCTTTCATCATTTTGGCGTGACTCCTTCACTCTCCTTCTGCCTTTGCCTTCTCCTTCAACATCGTCGCTGCGATCAGCCGATTTCAACTCCCATCCAAACGCATATTTAATTCTAGCCGCGCGCGTCTTCGTCGCCATTCCTGTCGATCATCTATCTCTCCTTCCAACTTTTTCGAATCTCACATCAGGACAGATCACCGCGACCAGTGGTCGTCCATCCTGCGACTCAACCAAACGTGACAGCCCTCTCTTGACGCCTGCAACATTTCTCACAGTCCACTCCTTCCACCTTTGCAAAATCCATTCTTGAACTAAATCCTCCTATCCGTTCAAGATGTCTGGCAGGCTAGATCAATCTCTCGACTCCATCATTGATAGCCAGAAGAAGGCGAAGCGCGAGGCTCGCCGTCGCAAGGTCGGAAAGTCAACTGGTCCCACTGCTCCCGTTGGTGGTGTCAAGAAGGCAACCAAACCGGCAAAATCTGCCATCAAACCGTCTGCCGGCGCTGCGGCTCAATCACGTCCAAGCAAGATCGTTGTCAGTGGATTGGTATGTTCTGATTGACTTCGTTGCGTGTCATAAGGCCGCAGCTAACTCTTACTGCAGCCATTCGACGTCAACGAAGCCCAGATCAAGGTATGTTGATAAAGAGGCTTTCGACCTTGGATCCCATCGCCGCTTGTCACGGCCTGTTATTCTTTGGCTCTTTATGCGACCGTGTCCGATAAGAGGAAGTTGAATGCAACAAGAAGAATGGGGAAGATGTCGAGCGGGAGAGACCATACTCAAGGACCGTATCGCCATGCTGAAAATGCTGGCTTTATCTGGGGCAGGCAATACTCTCTTCACCTTCGGCTCGCATCTTCCTTTTGCGATGTATTTCGGTGAAAACACAGTTTGCCATGATCTTGCAAAACCATTCCCCACGGCTAGCCACCGTGTGGGATTTTGATGCAGATCTGCCCAGAGGAATTCTCAAGACGCTGAGACGCTTGAGAACCTCTCGCCTTGTTTGTCTGGAGCATCAGCGAGGTTGCACCGAAACATACCGAAAGCAGAGCAGCGCAGCGCAGCACCATACGTCGAGACTAATGATTGTCCCTTTGGTTTCTGGCCCATCTCTCACCGACATGCATGAACATGTGTTCATCAACGCCAAACGAAAGGCTGGTGCCAAATGGTCATATGCTCTACGCCAGCATTCGGACATCATCTACGGTTCCTTCCAAGCTGCATCATTTACCTCTGAAATTCACCAACCGTCCTCAAGCATCCGACCTGTCGTGGACTGAACAACTAGTCATACTTTCAAGTCAAGCTCGACATTTTCCACACTTGGCATGAGAATGTATACGCATTTCAACCACCTACAGGGGTGAGGGGTTTTGTTGGCCAACCGCGATGATACGAGGCTCGACTGCTGACCTGCCTGCTGCTCTCAATACTTTTGCACTCGCTGATGCTCTGGCGCAAAGGATATGTACCTGGACTATACTCTACTGTGGAAACATCTATTACTGCATTCTTACCTGGGGACGAACGATGCGGAAGAATTGCTATTCCTACCTCTCTCCGGCAGTTTACTGATCACTCGCGGACGAATAGGAATACTTCGGCAAGTCCGTAGGCAACGTTAAGAAGGTCTCTTTGCAGTACAACCAGAATGGTCAGAGCCGTGGTATTGCCGACATCATCTTTTCGAAGCCCGACTCTGCCGCCAAAGCTGCAAAAGACCTGAACGGAATGCTGGTGGATAAGCGACCAATGAAGGCAAGCACGACACCATCCGCACCGTTCATGGACTTCTCCTGACCTCGACTAGATTGAAGTTGTGATGGACGCCAGCAGTGTTCCGGAGCCGGCTCCAGCCAAGTCACTTGCGGAACGTGTTGCGTACGCAAACCCACCGAAACGCTCGGGAAAGTCAGAACCACTGACAAAGACCAGCGCCAACCCCAAAGCCCAACCGAAGTCAGCTACCACAACAAAGAAGGTGACCGGAAAGGATGGCACCAAGGGGAGATCGGCCGGCAAACCCGGGAAGCCAAAGCGTGGGCGAAACCCTCGAGCCAAACCCAAGACCGCCGAAGAACTCGACGCCGAAATGACCGACTATTGGGGGGGTAATAACCCCTCCGCAGTGGGCACGGCCGCTGAAGCTGCAACCACCAACGGTATTGCTCCGGCTGCTAACACCGGCGATGATATGGGCATGGAGGAGATTTCAGTGAGCGACGTCGAATTCATCTGCTGAACCCGTTCAGACTGACACCCGTATCAGTGAAAGCCCGAGATTGGATATCGTGAAGGAAGACAGGACCCCAAGAGTGAAGATCGTGCATCCATAACTCTCAACAACCATCGACTTCCGAGCTTTCTCTTTTCACCACACGACTGTACTGAATAGCCATCTAACATTCTTGCCCGCTTTCGCATGACCCACAGATTCTACTTCATTCATACGAAAAATGTGTTGCTATCTTTGCCGGGGAGGTGGGAGGTTATGGCATAGGCCTGGGAGGATGGTCTGGAAGGATCGATAGCAATGGCCTTGAGCGGGCACCGGGAGTATCAAACTGGCTTAGGATGAGAGGCATCAGCGATAGAGTGCACCGGACCATTGGCTTGATAATTCAGCAGGCAGGATCCTGATCAGAAATATGTGCAAACGAACTTAAATATTAAAGGTCACTTCCCGTCTGAGCGAAAGATTGGAGACTCAATAGCATTCTTTGCGCTCTCAATCTTCCTCTAATACGAAATTTTGGCCGTCGTGAATCATCAATTTGGTCATCAGCACCCGAGAACTGTTCTCTCACGCCGAGTCGACTCCATTGAACTCGGCATCACTCCGTACACTTTGTTCTGTATTCAGTTGATTGCATCTGCCCGGTCTCAGGAGGAAAAGGTCCCCCCAATTCCGTACGATCCTCCTATTGTGTCGGTGTGTAGATAGATCAGACGAAGGGTTTATCAGAGAGATTGAGCGCGTACACAGCCCAAGCTAACTTAGTTGATGTGGTAGTCTCAGATGAATTCAAAGCCGTCGTCGTCCTCCTTCTCCTTGGCGTCGTTGTCGGTTCTGTTGTCGTTACCATTGTCTCCCGTCTCGATCAAGACGACCGAGCTGGAACTTGAGTCCTGATCGTGTTGTGAATGTGGATGAGGTTGAAGCTGAGAGCGATTATGAGGATGGGGACCGTGATAGGATTGATCATGGGCGAACGGGTCCGGCTCCGGCTGGCTTGCTGTTTCGTGGGAATGAGACGGGAGATCAGGGAGAATGAAGCTGTAGGGGAAGTTCTGGGTTTTGGCTTTGCCTATCCCGTTGTCCTTGTTCTCCTCCTTGTCCCAGCGCTTGTCCTTGTCATAACTCACCTCTTTTACGATTGTTTCGAAGTCGGGCGTGGCGATGATGTTGGTGTTTTGAGACTCGTCATTCAGGTTGTGCTGAGCACGACGAAGTTGACTGGCCCCTTGGCCTGGACCTTGATCGTGGCCGCGTCCCGTACGTTCCTGGTTAGAATTTCCAATGGCGTTGGAACTCGCGTGTAATTCTGTCGCGCGCTCATTGTCCCAGTTGACCATGTCACTGTCTGAGTCTCCATCGTCGAACACGCCTTCATCAACATTGTCCCCATCGTCGTCGAAGTCGTCGATGCTCAGCATATCGGAATCAGCCTCATCCTCCGTTCCCATTACATCTTTGCCCACGTGGACGACACTGTGGGCCACGCCTTCAGAATCATTGAGGCCCGTAAACACAATAGTCTCTCTATTGACGTCGATGGTGCTGATACTTGACATACTCTTGACTGTCCGGGTCCCATCCGTGGCGAACTTACTGGCCTTCCCCAAGGTACTGACGGCCTGGGAGCTCGTGATTTCGTCAATTTCGCTGCTTGCCTCCGTGTCTGCTTGATCGAAGCCGCGCTTGATCCGTCCCGGCCCGAAGCTCTCGAAACCTGTCTGTACTGGATCGAGATTCGGGACAGGTTCCTCTTCAAACACTCCCCCTGTGTCGTCGTCGTCGCCATCAGGTACCCAGAGTGGTAAGTAGCGGAATTCGTTGGTATTGAGGCAAAGAAGACTGTCAAAAAGGTCCGTGGGCAATAGGCCAGTTTCATGGAAGAGATGGGGTGGGTAGATGAGTTTTGAACAGATTGATTCGATTGCCGTGGTAAGCTCCTTAAGCAGTACTTCTGGACTGATAGGCGAATGATAACTGGGAGGTATAGTTCCTTCAGCGTCTGTGTTGCTGTTAGAGAAGGCTTGTTTGACGCGGTTGCTAGATCGAGGAGTGGGAGGGGGAGGTTGAACGCAGCGCGTTCGGTCCTCCTCTCTGGGGAGGTTCAATCCTTCATCCCGACCGGTATATGGGTTGAAGAATGTGTTTGAAGCGAAGGCAGAAGCGTCTGCTGCCACTGTTGGCGCCGCCCAATTCGGGTTGATTGGCAGCGGTGCCGTCAACTCGGCCGAGACATTGTTTTCAAATCTGGTTCCCTGTACGAATCGAGATTCGCTGGCATCGCTCACGGGTGCAGTGTTTAGTACTATCAGATTTGTACGCGTAGAAAGTCCCTGCTGACTCTCAGTCGCGCTGCCGGCTTCATAGTTATTAACCTGATGCAAGACGTGCCCCGTACTTGTTGGCTTGGGTCTCAGCGCGAAAGCAGGTGGCTCAGTGCTAGGTGCAGTCGTCGTCTGTGCTTTCTTGGGTAGAAGAGTTCTCCATGAAGGAGATGTTTGAATTCGTGCAATAGAGGAGGATATGGAATTATTTCTATCTCGGAAAGGAAGGGTAAAGTCGTCTAATTCGTTGGTCTTGCGACGCTTTGCAGAGGGTGTGCCATGAACGACCTCTCGGTTCCAAAACATTTGGTTGAGATCCTCGATCGTTCTGACGAAAGCGCCTCGTGGAATTTGAGCGATTCCAATAAAAGGGTCATCCTTGTAGAGCCCTGGAAGGGCCTGAAGGTATTGTGTGTCATCGCTCCAGCCAATTGTGCTTTGGCTGGACGTGTTGTAGCTGCCCTCATCGAGTTGCATATGCTGCAATGCTATCCAGAATGTCTTAGTCAACTGCCTCATCCGCTGGTTGAGTGACCCGTAGACAACGCCGTAGTCCTCACTAGAAGCTGTTCGAAAAGGGAGAGTTGACTTTGGATCTGACTCTAAATTGCTAAAGTTTCCTTGATTCTGGCATAGAACGTGGTAGACTCTCCACCTGATATAGTCCTTGATCACGTTCTTGGTCGTTTTCAGCGCCTCCACCCCTCTCGGAGTTTGTCCAACGGCGTTGTCGAGTATTGCGTAGGTTGGGCTCTCGTGCAGGAAATCCATATCTTTACAGATACTGCAGACCATCTGGCGAATACGCTTGACGAAAGAAGAAGCAGCGTGGTCAATTCGATTGCGTTCGTCGTCGTCAAGAAGTTCCAGCTTTCGGCCATGGACACTTTGACGGCGACGAGTTAGAATGTCCGGGTTGAGCTCACCGCAGGCTTCGATAAGGGCCCTCTCGCCGACGAGGATGGAGAAGGAATCTTTAATAAGATCCGCAGATCTGATGCCCATGCCGATACGATATGCCACTTCAGGGTTGTTTTGGATGAAGTTGCTGTTGTTGCCCGCATAAAGCCAGGTCATGATCCAACCTGAGATGCGCTCGTGAGTAGCACAACCAAAGTATCGCGCAATGGCAAAAAACGTCCAGACTTTAGGTGCAGAATCTAGCTTCGGATCATTCCCTTGAATGGCCTGGAGCATTCGTTCGAGGGCGGACCAGTGCCGAAGTGGAGAATAATCTAGTGCAGTTGGAACTGGAGGCGCAGCCTTGTCATCCGATGACTGATTCGATTTTGGCTTTGCCGTGTTGGAGGGGCTTGGGTCTGCATCTCCCGTGTTCTCTGATGACGCCAGCCGCTTTGCCAACGGGTCGGCATGAGGCTGAATTCCGAATTCGTCGTGGCCTTGTACGGCAAGAGGAGACAGATCATACTTGTGCCTTGCCAGATGCCATGTGAGCACACCACGCGTACAAGTCAGATCGGTGATGAGAATGACGGCTTCCTCATCTTCGTTGGGCGGGCGGAGGTCGATGTAGTACTTGAACTTTCCTCCGTGTGCAGCTTCTGCTTTGTTCAACACACCGAGCTTCCTCAGCTTGCTCTCAGCGTGAAGTGACTCTGTTGGGTGCAGGAGATTTCTGTCAGTAAACTTGGACTCGTCGCCCATGAGCCTAAGATTTGTGCTTTTGACAACATGGACCCGATCAAAATGCTGTCTGATGTAGTGATAGTCCTTGTCATTTTGCTCCGGCATTTGTGGAGGAGGCCCAAAATAGATGGCTGTATCGCCAGCCGTGTCTGCAAGGGCGGTAAACTCATTGTTCAGACTCAAGACAAGGTCAAGTGATGGCTCATCTGATGACGACAGATGCTGAGAAGAACCCATTCGGGTATCTGTTCGCTTTCCTGCTTGGGCTTGGTCTTGAAGGGACAGTTGAATAGCTCGAGCTAAGTCTTGTTCCTGTTGTATCCACCCAGCTGTTGTTTTGTCGGAGGTCGCAGCAGCACTGTCCTGAACGGGAGGCTGAGTTGAGGGCGAAGTCCAGATGTCTTCGGAATCACCAGCGACACCCTCACCTCTATTGGTTGGTGCTGCGGCAGATGGAGGAAGGACCATTGGTTTTCTGATCAATGCTGAGTGCCTGGAAACAAGGGTCGTGGCGCTCAGACTGAAGGCGGACTTAATGATTTGCTTTCGGACATGTATAATGGAGGGATTGTTCACAGAGTCGTGATATATTGTTCACCTGTTAAAGACCTCGTGGAGTTGGCTTGGGGTGAGATATGCAGAAACTCTTGCAGTCTCTGCAAGGTGAGGGCTGGAAAGGCTGGGAAGGTGATGAGCTGGTGGTACAGAGTTTGTCACCCGGCTTTGTGAGCCATGAATGGGCCCAGATGGAAGTTGTGAAGCGAGAGAGAGGTGTAAATTGCAATTCCACAGTGAGGACAAAGGAAGGGTGAGGCTGAAGCCCGAAAGCGAGAAGAAGACGAAAAACGACCTGAGGTTTGCCTTATGGCTTGTGGTGTCTTGTGGTGTCTGCCTGGTGAGCAATGAGCATTTCCCTCACAGCTGGTTCAGGCCATCAGAGCCCATCACAGCCCTATTCGGTACCTATTCTCTGTCTCTGCACATATTTATTGGCTCTTTTGTTGTTAGTGCTGTGGATTCGGTGGGACTTTGGGGGCGTTGCAAGGCATACGGAGGAGAAGGTGGAAGAGGAGGTGGAGGCGGGGAAGGCTAGGGGGGCAACCCATCCCATCCCATCCAGGACGAGGTACTTATGTACCCTTGTCAACCTGGTGTACCTTATACCTCTAGTGAGAAAAGCAAACCCCTTTTTGCGACTGTGGGAATTTAGAGAAAGGAAGAGGTCACTATTTCAGTCTGAATTGTGCAATGGCCGTATCTGTACTATGTAGCCCCGAATGCAATCGATCCCCCATAACTGCCATAGAAATACACGCTGGCCTGGCCAGTAAAGTAACCCTTGAAGCCCTCGATCAGTCCGTTTCAATCAAGGCTCGCACAAGACACCCGTTTTCACTCACTCAGCCAACACATTTGCTCCAGGCTGGCAATCCGCAGCCGAACCCAACGAACAGGTAGATCAGAAAGATGACAACAACCACAAGTAGCACCATCACCCGCACGTTTTTCCACCACATCTGCCGCCTTAACCCTCTGCTTCGTACTCGGAAATCTCGCGCACTCCCTCCCAACCGATCCGTTTTGTCCACCAAAAGATCAATTCTTTCCCCTCTCTCCAGCACCCGCTCAATGTTCTCAGTCATGATGTCCCTGACGCTGTCAATCTCCTTGCGTGCATTGGTCAATGCATCACTCGGCGGGGCGGTGTTGTATTGCTGGATCATGGCCTTTAGAGTAGAGTTGAAGGCCGCGGTCCCATAGGCGGGCAATGACGAAAAGTCCGTAGACTCAGGCTTGTACTGTGCCAGGAATTTCTTCTTGAGCTCCAGCAGGAACGCGAATGGCACACGCCGGCCCATCTCTGTCTGAGCAACGACCAGGTAGGTGAGAGCCGCATGACTGGAAAGTTGCTCGTCGGAACCATTCGACGTTGAGGAAGGCGAGTCCGCAATGTAATGGACAAACAGACGGTCATGGGTGTAGGTGAGCTTCGCAGGGGTCGAATGGGAGATCTTGGGGAGAATGACTGAGGCAAGCGATGAGGCCGAAGAAGACGAGGTGCCAGGTGACGTATGCTCGGTGAGGATAGTTGTTCCATGAGCAATGCATGCACTGCCATCTTAAGGTGAGAACATTTGCCCCCCTTGAAGTGTACATAGGCGGTACTTACTAGAGTAGCTGGTTGGATTGCCCTGAGCTCGAGGCCATCTTGAAGCGCTGCGGACGCTGGTTGGGTGTTGGTGGGTGCTATAAGTCCGGGCGCAAGAATGATGAGATCCCGTTAGATGCTAGCTCGGTCAACTATACGCGGATTTAGGGCGAGGAGAAGCAGTTAAGTGGAAAATAGAAACTGGGTAGGACAGACTGATGGATGAATGGATGGATCGATGGATGGAGGTCGACACGGCAATAGCCTGATTGTTACATGCAGAGTGTCGAGGGCGCAGTTGGCGCGGTCTGCGGAGTTCGCCTCTTTGGGCGGTTGCGTCACTCCTGGGCACTAGCACTCCTCGCTCGGTACAGCTGCCAGCCTTATCTACGTCAGCCTAGCCAATTTCAGCCTTGCCCACCCCCAACTCTGGAGTGTTACTATCATCTAGAATGTGCATCGACCGACAATTCAATCTATTCCGAGGACCGAGTACGGGAACATAGGGTTGATCTTTTGTTGCTTGAGCTACCAAGGGTATCAATGCAAACCACAGCATCTGTCCGCCACCCGAACTTGACCCTGCAATCACACTTGACTCCTTTCATTTAGCACACTCGGGAATTAGTGCTCCGTTACTCCCCTTCTCAAGTGCTAGCAGGTTGTTCTACAGCTCCCTGCCCTTCGCTCTTCTCTCTCTCCCTCTGTCGTGATCTCCTTGGCATGGACGGGCTCTTCCATCCTAATGACTGAGCTCGGCCGGGGTGTAGCAGTCTCCACGTCGTTGCTTGCCGAGTGTGATCGATCGATTTCTTTCTCCCGGGTTCTCTCCTTGTGGCCATTTGTACTTGCCCCCCCTCCACGACTCCTGCTTGCGTCATCATCGTGTCTCATATGGTCTCTCATCTCGTGAATCACCTCCCTGAAACTCTCCTCAAGGGCATTCATCCGAGCCATCATAATTTTAGTAAACATCTCTTGCTGTTCTTTCTGCTCTTTTGCACGGCGTGACTCGGTTGATCCTTTTCCCACGTGAGCAGCAAATGAGCTGGGGAGTGCTCCAACGTAGCCTCCGCCTATCGCTCTGTTGTCGCCAATGTCTGATACCAGATCCATGTCGAGTGATGGTTTCCGCCGCATTTGAGCTTGTTGACTTTTGAGTGACACCAGTCCTGCTAAATTCGGGGTCGACCGGAAGCCTTGTTCGTCTTTCGTGGCAAGTGTCGGTCGCATTCGAGTCGGACCTGCTGCTCGCTTTGGCGTTCGATGCCCTGCACCACTGGAACCGGGCTTCGAGACCGGTGTGCGAGTCCCTGATCCAGGTGCTGAAAGATGTGACTTGGTGGCTGGTGGTTTATTCTCTTCGACTGATGAATTCTGGTCCGTGCTCGAATCCGTCATGGGCTTAAAGATCATGGTCGCCACTGACATGTTGCGAGAATGATGACGGGGCTGGTTCTTGGGAGAGCGTCGTGAAGGTGAATTGGCCCCTGAGCCAAGCCCTTCGAGTTTCGCCTGAGAAACGGCAGCCACAGGTCGGTCTTCCTCGGGAGAAGAGCCTCCTAGCGATTGTTTAGTTGTGAAGTAGTCACGATGCTCTAGAACGGCAGGGGCCGTGTTGTGTTGCTCAGGCTCTACATCGCTTTGTGACCGATGTTCAAATGTGGTTGTTTCCTCCTCATCACCATCAACGTTTGTTGGCATCTCATCATCTCCATCCGCATCCGTGTTATGTGATGGCTGCTCTAACGCGGAAAGGGTTGCCGTCAGGGGATGTGCCTCGCCTGGAGATGAGAATCCTGCATTGGTCCTAAAGTCCTCCGGGTCAGATACAACTGACATTGTTCGACGAGAGAAGTCGCGAATTCGACTGAGCCGGCGCTGTCTTCGAAACGCTGTTTGCTTGCCCTCGAGCCTCTCGACAATCTGCCTGTCTTGCTCCTGCGGCGGCTCTGCCACGTCGTCGCCCAGTTTATTCATCCATGTGCTAACCACATTACTCGCCTTGCGCCGGTCTTGGCTTTGATGGGCACTTTTGATGGTACTGTCAAAAGGCTGTTTGAATACTTCTTCGAGAGCTCTGTCCTGTCGGAAGGTGGCAATCGAAGGAGCCCGATTGAGCCGGGTAAACTTCGCCTTTCTTCTCACGCGCCCGCGGCGCTCCACAAGGTCGATGCTGTCGTAGACGGTGCACTGCAGGATGGTCTTCTCATACAACAAGATCGAAAGAAGCAGAGGTAAATGCGTGATCTTAATAATAGTTCGGTTGATCTTGACGTATTGGCGGAAGGGGACGAAGTACCTGAGAGGCACCAAAAGCCACTGAATTATGTTTGTCGGCGCCACGTACGAGAAGAGCGCGTCGGATTTGACATGAGAGATGGTGTTGACTGCAAACAGGAACTGATGCTCTTCACTCGCGTTCCGGACGATAGCCATGAACGAATTAGTCAAGACGGTGATTAAGATGGTGACTACAAGGAAGTGACAGATGAACAAGAACAAGGTCAGAATCGTCTTTCCCAGAATGTTGTATCCCGCCCATCGGTCCCAGGCAGCCGGCGTGAAACCCATAAGCATTTGTAGCAGAGCGTAAGCTACCGAGCTGGGAGTATCAATTCCGTTGTCGCCGAACGACAATGTGAGGGCAACGAAGAACCCACTGCAGCTGATCAGGATTAGCAGTGAAACTGCAATGAGATCTGCTGCCATGTATCGAAAAGCAATGAGAAGGGGTGAGAAATAACGGTAATGATCCAGCACGGAGAACAGCCGAGGAAAGAGTAGAATGGCGTCGGCCGCAAGAACATCGTAGGCCATGTTGGCCACCATGTGCTTTCTGACATCTGGCATGAGGATCCCGTAGATCCGCAGCGCCAAGTGGACGACCAAGATGAGGAGGATTCCCAAGTCGAAGGTGTTCCAGAAACTAGCGATGTAGAGACTGAAGCCTTGTTCGTTGAATCCAACAATCTCATCGAGCATATAGCCGGCAGCCCAGAACCAGAAGATGACTTCGAGAGTCGTAATCTCGAGAGAGCGCTTCACAAGGACGGCGACAAACAAGCTCAGGAGAACAGCGAAGGACAAGGTAGACAAGATATTGCGGTATCGAGGGACCCGCAACCGCGACAACTTGAAAAGAGAGGCGTCGCGAGGATCGTACAGTGTCACCGCTCGCCTTGGAGCGTGTGAATCAGTGTTTATGGGGCTGGGCTTTCCAGACAAACCGCTGTGATTTGTACCGTAACTTCTCGCTTGACTCGTTGCGGGCAACGGTCGATGCAGACTGTCGGCCGCAGAGTGGAAGACGATTGTACCAGCCCAGATCGCCTCGAGCTGCTTCACTACCATCGGATGAGAGAGGAACTTTTTAGCTTGAGCGCGGATGGCAATCTCAAAGCACGAGATTCTTGCCGGCCGATGAGCCGGTTTTTTGGAGTTTGCTGTGGGCCTTCGTTCGTTCTCCGCGTGAGGAATTGCATCCAATTGGCCTTGGAGAGGGTCGAAGTCATAGGACAAGGCGTCAATGAGCTCTCTTGTGGAAAAGTCTTTGAGCAATTTGATGGCAATCAACTCACACACCATTGCTCGAGTCGTGTTTGTTCCACTGTTGCCAGAGGACGTAGCGGCCTCTTTGCCATACTGGAGACAATTTGCCATTAGAGCATAATGCGTGGCCGCAGTCAGATGGTTGATGCGGATTTCTTGTTCGATCGGCTTGACAAGGAATTGTGAGATCTGGGGTGACCGGAGTTGCTCCCAGGTCAAGACAGTGTCACAGCGAGAGCTTACCAGCAAGCGGACGGCGTGTGTGAGGGCAAAGACGGGGATGGCATCGAGACGAGCCGCAGAGAATATGGGAAGGAGGGGTGTTGTATCGTCAGGTCCGTCTTCGTCTTCGTCACTAACGTCCTCCACCCCTTCATTGGTTTCCTCCTCTTCCTCTTGGTCCTCATCCCCATCCTCTTCAAGTCTGTCTCCTTCATCGTCCATGTCTTCATCCTGATCTTCCTGAGAGATGAGCTCACGGTCGGTCTCGGAAGACCGTCTCCGATTGCGTCGAATCGGGTTTCGCGAGTAGTCGGGGGATCGTGTCGTTGGAGCGTAGCTCGAGGAGAAAGGGGACCGTTCCCGGCGCCTCTGGCCCCTGGGATTCCTTGTTAGGGAAAAAGAGATCATGATTGAACCAACAGAGACTAGGTAACTTGTAGTGGGTGGTGGAGGGTCGCGCAATGGGAAGGTGAATTAGAATTCGCAACGCGCAAACAAATGACCGCAATTCTGAATTGAAGACGAACAAAAACACATTTTGACGTTAGCCAGACTTGGAACAGTAATAGAGAGTCAGCAGTCTGCTTAAGGATAAAGAAAAGACAGGGAGGGATGAGTGAAGGGCATATCGGTGAGTTTTTGCGGGATATTTTGTTTGCACGCGCAGAGGGAGCACAATGCGAGTGGTGATCAGCGCCCAGCTGCGCCTGCCAGGCCCGCTTTGGACTTGGTAGAACTCTCAACCTTAGCACTAGCAGCCATCGTCGTGGAGGTTCAATGCTGGTGCAAGCAAAGAATTGCATCAAGAGACACGGGATTCCATCTGCATGTGCAGAATGCGGAGGGTGGAATTTAAGGCGATAGCAGTGAGACGAGAGGTCAGTTGGACAACCCGTGGGCGCAGGCCAATGTATGGTGACATCAAGGAAAAGCGGTTGGAGATAAGGCGCATGCTACTGTAATATGCAATGGAGCACCGCAGTTAAGATGTGTGATTGGGGGTCACATGCGAGCAGCCGAGGGAGGCCTGTGGGTGGCTCGGGGTGACCTGTACCAAGCCTGCATCCAAACTGCACGCCTAATGCCGCTTATGGAGAGGCGCTTTGGGGGGGATCAGAGGGGTCCTGCATGCAGCGTGGGGTAGCCACCTCGATCCTCGATCACGTTGAGGCCAAAGAAAAGTGGTACCGAGTGAGGCTGAGGCTGCCCGTGGGTGTCTGCTATGTGTCCTGTGTCTGCTGCCTTTCTCTCTGGTTTTTCTTTCTAGGTCTGAGACTGACTCTATTGTCTCGACTTCCACGTCTCTCTTGAGATTTGCCCGCTCTCCTCCCTCCTCTCTTGTCATCTCTCCAGGGAGGCACGAGTATCAAGACGGGGTGAAAATTTGATGGGCTCGAGTGGCTCCAGAAACCTGGCGGCGGGCAGCTGCAGCAGTAGCGGAGAGCCGCGGCCGGTTTCTTCCCGTGATTGGCCGACAGCAAAAAAATTGCTTGGCATCAAAAAAAGGACTTTCTCGAGCACTGTCGACTGTCTCAATTTCATCTGGAACTGACTGCCATAGTATGCAATCTACTTTCCTCCTATTTTATTGAGGTCTGGCGTCGGCACTGGCGAATACATAATCTCACCCATCATCGCCATCGTACGCATCAGATGTACCCTTGATTATTCGCCTGCTGTGCTGACAGCAGTCCTCTCATTTCGCCATGAGTCGGTCAGTCTCCCTGACCACCGATGGTCATCGCCCGATGTCCAGTGACAGTAATCTGCCTCAGAGTCCAACGGTTGCCGCCTCTGTGGGTACTAGCAATGCCGAAGGGCCTCTTTCTCCGACCTACCAGATCGACGGAGACCACATGGGTGCTCTCAACCCTATGGCCACACCTCAACCCCTCAACGGCGACCAGTCAAAGGTCTATCTCGAGCTCCGAGATGGCCAAGTGTTCGAGGGTCTTAGCTTTGGTGCCAACAAAAGTATTTCTGGAGAACTCGTCTTTCAAACCGGGATGGTAGGCTACCCAGAGTCTATCACCGATCCATCCTACCGCGGCCAGATCCTTGTCGTTACTTTTCCACTTGTCGGCAACTACGGTGTGCCCTCTAGAGACACCTTGGACGACTTGCTAGGGGATCTCCCCAAGCACTTCGAATCCGACCACATCCATATCGGAGGACTTGTTGTTGCCTCATACGCGGGTGAGAGTTACTCTCATCACCTGGCTACGTCTTCTCTAGGAGCCTGGTTGAAAGAACAGGGTATTCCGGCAATGTGTGGTGTCGACACCCGAGCTCTGACAAAGATAATTCGAGAGGAGGGCAGCATGCTTGGCCGCATGCTCCAGGCAAGACCCTCTTCAAAGTCAAAGCTTTCCAATGGTTTCAAACCAGATGGACTCCCCAATGGAGACGTAGTGATGGGCCCGCAAAATTGGAGAGAGCAAGTTGAAGGAATCGACTGGCATGATCAGAACGAGAGAAACCTGGTGGCAGAGGTATCTGTGAAGGAACCCCGAGTCCTCTCCCCTCCCGCAACCAGAGCTCTGCTTCATCCGTCTGGAAGGCCTGTTCGTGTGGTGGTTGTGGACGTCGGTCTGAAGTACAACCAACTGCGATGTCTCCTATCCCGCGGGGTAGAAGTCCTCGTGGTTCCGTGGGATTATGACTTTCCAGCTCTTGCTGGAAAAGATTACGACGGACTGTTCATTTCCAATGGCCCCGGAGATCCCGCGATGCTCTCGACAACCATCAAACACATTTCCGAGGCTTTGAAGGAGGCGCGAACACCCATTTTCGGCATCTGTCTCGGTCATCAATTACTGGCTCGCGCAGCTGGTGCGGAGACATTGAAAATGAAGTTCGGTAATCGTGGTCACAACATTCCCTGCACAAACCTATTGTCCGGACGGTGCTACATCACTTCACAGAACCATGGATTTGCTGTCGATTCTATGACACTTCGCGAAGGGTGGGAAGAATTGTTTGTGAATGCAAACGATGGCAGCAACGAAGGTATTCGGCATGTGTCTCGACCGTATTTCAGCGTGCAGTTTCATCCCGAGTCCACGCCTGGACCCAGAGACACTGAATTCCTATTCGATGTCTTCGTTGACGCGATCATGAAGAGTATTGAATCTGTGGACGCTCTGCTTCGTCCTGTGACCTTTCCAGGCGGCATGGTCGAGGAGAACGAACAAGCACATCCTCGTGTGACGGTCAAGAAAGTTCTTGTGCTTGGAAGCGGTGGCCTCAGCATCGGTCAAGCGGGAGAATTTGATTATTCTGGCAGTCAAGCAATCAAAGCTCTCAAGGAGGAAGGAATATACACCGTTTTGATCAACCCAAACATTGCAACTATACAAACCTCCAAGGGTCTTGCTGACAAGGTCTATTTCCTACCCGTCAACGCAGACTTTGTTCGGAAAGTCATCAAATATGAGAGGCCGGACGGCATTTACTGCACGTTTGGCGGTCAAACCGCTCTACAAGTTGGCATTCAACTGAAAGACGAGTTTGCAGCTCTCGGAGTACAAGTTTTGGGGACTCCAATTGATACTATAATTACCACCGAGGACCGGGAACTCTTCGCGAGAAGCATGGAGTCGATTGGAGAAAAATGCGCCAAATCAGCATCCGCTTCGAGCTTGGAGGAGGCAATGCGAGTTGTCCAAGACATTGGATTTCCTGTTATTGTCAGAGCTGCTTATGCATTGGGCGGACTCGGCAGTGGATTCGCTGAGGATCCAAATCAGCTGCGCGAGCTATGCACAAAAGCGTTTGCTGCAAGTCCACAAGTGCTCATCGAGAGGAGTATGAAGGGCTGGAAAGAGATCGAATACGAGGTTGTCCGAGATGCCCGAGACAACTGTATAACCGTCTGCAATATGGAAAATTTTGACCCCCTTGGAATCCATACCGGGGACTCGATCGTTGTCGCCCCTTCGCAGACTCTGTCGGATGAAGATTACAACATGCTACGTACCACAGCCGTCAATGTCATTCGCCATCTGGGTGTCGTGGGCGAGTGTAATATTCAGTACGCTCTCAACCCCTTCTCTAAGGAGTATTGCATCATAGAGGTGAACGCCAGGCTATCTCGATCTTCAGCTCTAGCCTCCAAGGCGACAGGTTATCCGTTGGCGTTCATTGCCGCCAAACTCGGACTGGGAATTCCACTGAACGAGATATCCAATTCAGTCACGAAGAAAACCTGTGCTTGCTTCGAACCTTCACTCGATTACATTGTTGTCAAAATCCCCCGATGGGACTTGAAGAAATTCACCAGAGTGTCTACACAGCTCGGGTCTTCGATGAAGAGTGTTGGCGAGGTCATGGCCATTGGCAGGACGTTCGAAGAAGCTATTCAGAAAGCTATCCGCTCTGTAGATTTTCATAATCTCGGCTTCTCGGATATCTCAAACCCTCTAATGTCCGTCGACGACGAACTGCAAACTCCTTCGGACCAAAGAATGTTCGCGATCGCCAATGCCATGCACGCTGGATATTCGGTAGACAAGATTTGGGAAATGACCAAGATTGACAAGTGGTTCCTTTCTCGGTTGAAAGGTTTGAGCGATTTCGCCAAACTCATGTCAACTTTCACGGCGACAAGCATCTCTCCGGCGTTTATTCGACAAGCCAAACAACTTGGATTCTCTGACAGACAGCTAGCTCGCTACTGGAATTCGAATGAGCTGGCGGTGAGACGTCTAAGGGCCGAGGCAGGCATACACCCCTATGTCAAGCAGATCGACACTGTTGCTGCCGAATTTCCCGCTTACACAAATTATCTCTATCTTACTTACAATGGTACTGAGCACGACATTACGTTCGATGACCACGGAGTAATGGTGCTGGGTTCTGGTGTCTATCGAATTGGTTCCTCTGTGGAGTTTGATTGGTGCTCAGTCAGGGCCATCCGTACTCTCCGACAGCAAGGCTCCAAAACTATCATGGTCAATGTAAGTTATGTTTCTTTTGATATGCTCGCTTGCGCACTTCTGCCCTATTAATGGGCTTTGAGCTCATACTATTCCCTGGGTGGATTCTGGACCTTTGTTATCATATTCTTATTTTTTTTTTCTGCACTGATTTTCAGCCAATCTTTGACAAGTTCCTCGCTAAATTCTCTTAGTACAACCCGGAGACAGTGTCTACCGATTACGACGAAGCAGATAGGCTATACTTCGAGAATATCAATCTCGAATCGATCTTGGATATCTATCAGCTGGAATCAGCTAGTGGTGTCATTATTTCGATGGGCGGGCAGACCCCGAACAATATCGCTTTGCCTTTGCACAGGCTCAATGTAAAGATACTGGGAACATCGCCCGAGATGATTGATTCGGCCGAGAATAGGTACAAATTCTCCCGAATGCTGGACAGGATCAAGGTGGACCAGCCCTCCTGGA